AGTTCCTTTCACTTTGGAGCTTAACAGTAAGCATCTGCACTGCGACCTTGAAGTGTACCGATAATCAGGGTCTACCCTGGAGGTCAAGGGTCATGGAACCAAGCAGCTGGTTCCAACAAGAAACGACTCCACCTTCACCTTCTGAATGAAGTCACTTGATGGGTAACTCACTAACTATGGGGCTTTCATCCCTTACAGTCTCACGAACTTGAGAAGAAAAGTGTGCTCATCCGAGAAGGCAAACTTGGGTCACCTCCAAAGTCCGGAGAATGACCACATTTGGAATCCACGGATCGGAGGAACCACTGGCCACTCCCCACTTGTCGGGACTCCCCCGCTGTGCTGCTCGGGGTGTCAGCTAACCCCGCAGAGTGCTCCACAGGTCACTCTGAGCCCTGCCAGCCCCCACCCACCTGTGCAGTTCTCGGCCCAGCCTGTCCACGTGTTCAGCCAGCGACAGGCTGAAGCACACTGGAGCCTGAGGCCAAAGGGAAAGAGCTGTGCTCCTCTCCTGCTTTACGTAGGTCCTTACCGTGTGTCCTGACTGCTGAACCTTTCATTCGGCTTCCCTGACAATCTTCCCCCAAGGCCGGCACCTCACCGCCTCTCCCTCACCTCTGCCCGAAGGTCCCACCTGTCTCACCTGGGCTGTCTTCCAGCCTACAGCCTCTCCCTGGGCGACTCTACCCTCAGGCTTCTAACCGCCCACCGACATCCCGAGGTTCCAAATGTTCCCCCTCCAGCCCCGATCCTTTACTGAGCTGCAGCTTTTATAAAGAAACAGGATGTCGGGAAACTTAGGCGACCCCAGGCTGAATCCATTATTTCTCTCCATTGATCCCACAAACACCTCGCTGCACACATGAAGTCAACTCCCAAGTCGCTCCTGCGATGGACTGCATGTGCCTGTCGCCCCAAAATTCATATGTTGAAATCCTACCCCCCACTGTGATGGTATTTGAAAGGGGCCCTTGAGGAGGTGCCGGGGTTGCGGGGACGGGGTCCTCATGAATGGGGCTCGTGCCCTGGTAGCAGAGGCCCCAGGGAGTGCTCTTGCCCCTTCTGCCACGTGAGGACGCAGCAACAAGATGACCACCTTAAGAAGCAGGAGGAGGGTCCCCAGCAGACACCAAACCCTCCAGTGCCTTGGTCTGGGGCTTCCAGACTCCAGAGCTGCGAGAAATAAACGTCTGTTGTGTAAGCCACTCGGTTGGTGGTATTTTTGTTACAGCGGCCAAGCAGTGGAACAGACTAAGATACATCCTGAGCAGACTCAGGCCTGCCGCCCCTCCTGCAGCCCCTCCTCTGTCCGCGGGGCCCCGGTCGTCCCCATCTGTCCTCCAGCCTTCTGCCACAGCGGCCCCAGAGTCCTCGCCTCCCCCCTCTCCTCCTTAAAACCGTCTTCCACACTCAGAGACACTCTGAGTGTCTTCACACTCAGAGCCAGGCTGAGCCAGCGTGAGGCCGACCTCACTGACTCACGTCAATGACTAAAACGCCTTGCTGCTCTGTCCTTCGAAAGAGCGCCGTGATCACTCACGGCCACTTCTGTCTTTTTCAAAGGAATGTGAGAGAACATCTTCCTAAGGCCTGTATCACATTCTCCTTTATTCCAGTTGGAAAGTGGGATTTATTCCATCCGCTGGTCCACTGCAAACAGGCAACGAAGGCAGAAACAGAGTCGTGAGAGGGACCAGGAAGCTCACACGGGGGAAGGCGATTCACCAAAACCTGAACGACCCTCAGTTAATTGTGTAGAAGGAAGCAAGTCAATGACTCACGTTTATTTACAGATTTAGAAGGTTCTACTTGAAAAGCTCTGGGGCCAGATTTCGTGGGTTCAACCTCCAGTTCCACTATTTGGTTTCTCCTTCTTTTTATTATTATTTTTTTTCACTGTGCGCTCCTACTAAGTGCCGAGCCTTTGGAATAAATTAGGCAAAATTCTGAAAAATGTGTTGAATAATTGGCCGTCTTGAACCGCCTTCCTTTTCATTTTTGCCCGGGATGTTTTCTGATTTGTAAAGGTTTTCTGGTCTTCGGAAATTGCTGATGGATGCCCTGGCCGGCAGGGCTATTTGGTTGGACTTCACTATGCAAAGCAAAGGGTCACAGGTTCAATTCCCAGTTAGGGCACACTGGGTTTTAGGCCTGGCCTCCAGGTGGAGCAGGTCCAAGAGGCAACTGATATTTCTATCTCACACAGCCATGTCTCTCCTTTTTCCCCCTCTACCTTCCCTTCTCTCTAAATAAATAAAATTCTTTTTAAAAAAATTGCTAATGGGAGCCCTGGCTGGCATAGCTCAGTGGATTGAGTGTGGGCCTGTGAACCAAAGGATCGTGGTTTGATTCCCAGTCAGGGCGCATGCCTGGGTTGCAGGCCAGTTCCCAGCAGGGAACTCACGAGAGGCAACCACACATTGATGTTTCTCTCCTTCTCTCCTTCCCTTCCTCTCTAAAACTAAATAAATAAAATCTTTAAAAAAAACTGCTAATGGGAAATGAGTACAAAATATTTATGTAATTAGGACAGTTCAACATTTTCAAAAATGGCAAAAATAAACAGTAGTTACAGAACACCTGCTTAAAAGATACTGGAAATGACTGTTTCGTGCTTCATTACCCAGTATAAACACACTTGCCGGTTTAAATCCCCTACTGAATTCAGAATTTCCAATTAGCACTAGGATGGATTAAAATGGCCAGGGGAAGCAATCCCTGGGTACAAAAATTTCAGAACTGCCCTTCTTAAAGGCACTTTTACAGGTCAGGCAGGTGCCTTTCTATGAAGATGCCTATGGCCTTATTTAAGTATTAAAACCCTGTTTACGTCTATTTTATGAGACAATTCCAGGCAATGTGTTTGCAGTTTATTCATCTCTGAGTAGCGTCCGGCGCTGTGCCTGGACTACGGCTCCTCCAGGGCTCGAGGAGGGAAGGAGGGAGACACGCAGACGGGGAGAGAGAACTGAGCGGGGACTCGAGAAAAGCTTTTCCGCAACTGTGAAGGAGTGTGACCCACGGGCCTGGCGTGGGCACATGAAGCGAAGGGTGGTAAGCCAGGGACTCCTGAACGACACCAAAACAGAAAACTGTAACGCCAAAGCAAAGGAGGTATTTTTTAAAAATTGAAGAAAATGCAAACAAACCAACCAACCTTCATTTCAGGGGGTCGCAGAGTTGGCTGAAATTGTACCTACCTCCTTGGTGGTCTTCAACAATGATTATAAGATTACTAGTCATAATCTTATTTGTCTTTTCTTTAAAAAAAAAAGACTTTTTTTTTTTAGACATGGGGAAGGGAGAATGAAAGGGAGAGAAACATCAATGTGTGGTTGGTTGCCTCTCACACGCCCCCTACTGGCGACCTGGCCTGCAACCCAGGCATGTGTCCTGATTAGGAATCAAACCAGCAACCCTTCTGTTCGCGCAGGTCGGTGCTGAATCCACTGAGCCACGCCAGGACTTGTCTTTTCTAAAGAGGCCATGGATTACACCAGAAAGAACACACTAGGGCCATATGACCAGAATTCTAGATCTGACTGCCACAGTAAGTAATTTTTAACCAGCGTAAGTCATCGCGGAACATCTTCAGCATAGTCTTCCTCGCCAGAGAAACAAGGAAACAAATTTAAGTTGTCTGTTTCATCGTGGTGAAAACCAAGTGCCATAAGCAAAGGTCCCCGGGAATGACACACCAGGTTCTGGGCTGTGCCCCTTGGGTCTAGTACAGAAAGGGTATGTCCCAGACGGGTGACCTGCATTCGTGCACCCCCCACAGATCCTTATCGGGCACCAGATGTTCTAGAAGCTGGGGACACGGCTAACGGGACAAAACACAACCCCTGGGCTTTCTGTGCTAGTAGGAAAAGACAGACCGTAAGCGATTCAGTGAGTGGAAGGAACAGCAGGTCACCGGGGAAGGCTGGGGGGAGAGGGGAGGCAGGGCACCCAGCGACTGCACGGGAGGGGCAGCCACAGTTTCAAAGGGGGCAGCTGGAGGAGGCCGCGCGGCGCTGACCAGTGTGCGGAGGACACTGTGCGCACCAGAAAGTCACCGGCAGGCTCTAGTGCGGGAATTTGGAAAGGGCTGCTTGGACATCTTATTAACAAGAGACTCTGACCAGTCCCCGCACGGAACTTCCTCTGTCTGAAGAAAGGGAAGACTCTGCCAGGAAAAGGCAGGAGCATGGACACCGTTTCGAGGCCACTGCAATGGTCCAGGTGAGGGCTGAGGGGGTGACTGGGAAAGCGTGGTGTGATGAGGGTGGTGACAGGTCACGACTCCGCAGACATCTGAGGGCCTCGCCGAAAGGGTCGTCCCGTTAGGTGGGGACGCGAGAGAGTAAAGTGGAGGCCTCTCCTATTTTGCCGTCCGGGAAGTTAATGTTGGGACATCAGGTTAAAAGAAAACTGATTTGCAAATTTAAAGATCGATGCCCCCCAAGATGGTGTTCTAAATGTTTCCTCCAAGGTCGTACTTCACCCCAGTTGACCATCCCCCAGCCCCTGCCCTGCGGGTCACCTCGCAGGTCTAGTTAAATCTGACCCTGGCACTGAGCGATCTCGGGGGTCTCCGCTGCGGCCCCTCGCCGGGGCACACTCTGACATGTTCACACGAACACTCACACGCACGTGTCCCCCAGATCACACTTTGCGGCAGTGCCTATGGACCAGCTCACCCTCCCCCGCTGAATCGCGTCTGCAATACTGGGCCTCTTCCGTCATTACACAAAACCACTCAGAGAAACTGTAGATTTTTAAGAAAAGAACTTTGGGCACCAAACTAAATTTATATGCTGTTTTAGCCGTTTCAACAGATTTTTTGAAGCAGTGAAACAAAGCACACTTTGAGCTTATTCTAATACAAAATATTTAGAAGAAATCATAGCTACATGTAGCACACACAGAACTATATTCCTAAGCACACGTGAAATCTAGTCGTATATGTGCAGAACGAAACACTTTCCCAAGGTGAAGGGTGTGTCAGCGGTACTCACAAAGCAGTTCTTGTCAGGGTTTCTCTTCCAGTGCCGCTTGTCTACCTTCTTGGCCGAGGTGGAGCGCAGGGCTGCGTGAGTCTGTGTGCGAGGGTGTAAAGCCAGGAGACTCTGGAGACAGAGGAACAGCGTGTCAAACACACGGGAACACGCGGGCATTAAAAATCACCAACATTTCAACATCTGCCTCACACACCCGAAGACCGACACTATCCGCGGCGTGTTCACCTTTCACTACTGTGACTCAACAATGAACTTACTAATCATTTATTAGCTGATATCCCAAGTGATTTTGTAAGGATATTTACTAATGGCGATATAAAGGATTTAAAAATTACAGGAACTACAACGAGGACCCCTTCCTACAAACCTTACACTTGGGGGTCTCAGATGAGAACTGAGTCAGAAAAGAGGCACTTTACTCCAGATTTGATTTAAACTGTTACCCATAACACCCTTCACTTGAAGTTTTCAGAACGTACGAACCGCTCTCACGTGCACTATTTACACCGACTGCTGTTATCACAAAGCTCTGGGCGAGGAAATGCGTTCAGGCGGGTTAAGTCGCCGGCCGGGTATCTCAGAGTTAAGGTGCAGAGGGACTGAGTCAGGGTGCAGTTCTGAGTGCCGGGCCTACCTTTGACCCCTGGCACGGGTAGTGTCTGTGTTTTACTACGGCGGCATGAGGTATAAAGTAAATAAAAGACTCCAACCACACGGGTAAATAATATAACGTGGCATCCGAGAGACAATAAAGAACACCCACGGCCCGACCCAAGCTCATCTTCACACGTAGCTGCCGGCATCACTGCCAAAACGGCATTGCAAGGACTGCTGTGGACTCACTCCCCAGTGAGAGACACACAACTGATAAAAATCTGGAAAGATAAGAATCTTCTCAAGACTCCAGAAGTCGCCTCCACGTCCGTCAGCAGATAAAGAAACACAGATTCAAGAAAAACTGATTAAAACACGGTGAGCTTGAGTACCTCCTGCCCCCAACCCCCAGACTCCAGCTCAGCGGGGGTGCAGTGCCACCCAGGTGAATGGCGCCGAAGCACAGGGCTCCCCTCGGCCCAGCGTCCAGGTGAGGCTGTCCCGGCCCCACCCAGGCAGCAGCTAAACCGCCTCCCTCGGGAGCAGCCCACCAGCCCCACCGAGGGCCTGGTCTCCTTCTGCGCCAGGTGCTCCAGGTTTGGACTAAGCGCCCACGAGAGGCGTCCTCATGGACCAGAGTCCCCAGAGGACCGGAGTCCTCTGCCTACACCAGTGCCCTGCTCATAAAGCAGAAGTGTCACTCTGAGAGGCAGGGGCCCCGGTCACCACCCCAGCTCTGGAGCTGTAGCTCCCAGAGGAAGAGGAAGGCCATGAGACCGACAGCGCCCCCCAGAGGTACTGCCTTTGTTTCAATGAACATGTGGGATGGCTCAGGCCAAGGGCGCCGTCCAACACAGGGTTTGATGGCCAAGGGCCCCTCCAACACGGGGGTTTGATGGTGAACAATAAGGAGGATGCTGGCAGCCTGAAGACAGCCGTAAACTAAACCACAAGGCAGAGAGTTGGCCAGAGCGGACCGGGGGGTCGGGGAAAAGCTAAGAACAGCTACACTGAGGTCACAAGAAACCTCGGAGACTCACACCAAAAACCACCCATGCAAAGGGACCCACACTTAATTGAACCTCACTGTGAGGAATTTTATACCCCAAGGCAATATAAGAGAATAAGAGAACCACCAGAACCAGGAATCAGTGGAGACTAATGGCTGGGTGTGGTGCTGACACAGGTGGACAGGTGAACAGAGAAATCAGGGGACAGCGCACTGAGGGCCCTGCTAACGCCGCCCTGAGCAGCTGGACTCACGTCCAAGGCTGCAGCCCACACGAGTGCGAGCAGAGGTTCACACTGTGGGGGTGAACCATCCCTGAAATAGTCCGTCCAGTCGCTGGACAAGTGAGCAAACAGCAGCAACAGCAGCAGCCTCCAGACCTGGCGGAGGAGGCATTGCTGTCCAGAACTGATACAACAGGTTGTCTACGATGTTCATCTTCAGTTTAAAAAGTTATAAGACATTAAAAAAAACAACAGGTTTGTGTGTTCCATACAAGGAAAAAAGCAGACAAGAGGAAGCCTTTCAGAGGGTCCAGTTGTCAAATTTAACAAAAACTATAGAGTAACCATTTTAATGAAGGTATGACTATTATGTCTCATCAAATAGAGACTATGCTTATGGAGAGAAAAATCCTAGAAAAGTACCAACTGGACATTTTGGAGTTGAAAACTACAATAGCTAAGACAAATCTTCTAGAGGGCTCAGTAGTAGACCTAAACTGGCAGAAGAAAGAATCAGCAAACTTAAAGAGAGATCAAGAGAGGTTATACAATCTGACAAACAGAGAGAAAAGAATGAACCAAACCAAACCAAACCAAACCCAGAGCCTTAAAGATAGGTGGTACGCTATGAAGTACACCGAAATATAGTACTGGGAGAACCAGGAAAGGAAAGAGGTGAAAATATATACAAAGGAATAATGGCTGATAACGTCCCAAGTTCAGTTTTAAAATGAGAGAAAACAGTAAGCTGTATACCCGGAGGCTAAACAAATGTGAAACAGGATAAATGCAAAGAGAGCCACACATAGACACAGTAGTGAAACTGCTAAAAGTCAACGCCAAAAAGAAATCTTGGGAGCAATAAAAAAAAATCGACACCTAATGTGCAGCAGAACGCTGATAAGTTTAACTGCTGACTCTTCATCCAGAACAATAGCTGTCAGAAAGTAGTGGGATGCGATTTTCAAGTACTAAAAGAAAAAAATAGATAACTGTCCCCAACTGGAAGCACCGCAACTATTCTTCCAACTGTGATGTGCTTTTCAGCAAAAGAAAATAAAAAGAGGACTTCCGCCAAGATGGAGGCATAGGTGGATATGCCGTGACTTCTCACACAACCAAGTTTAGAGACAACTAAATATTAGCAACAGAAAACACAGCCAGAACACAGAAAATTGAACTTTTCGGAAATCTGATAACAACAAATTCTTCAGTCTGACCAGTAAGGGGTGAAACCAGCAGGTGGCAGAGCGGGGTAGCACAGGAAAACTCGGTCAGACAGACTCAGGCGCGCGGAACCCAGGTGCAGGGTTAGACCTAGTGAGCGACCAGGCGAGCGACCGCGGGGGAAACATTGAGGGAGCAGGACTGCGGGTTGACTGTGGTCGCGCATTTGTGCGCGGGTGGACAGGCGAGGGAGTGGGCGATTGGACCGGGACCCAGGCGGTCCCCACAGCAAGCGGCAGGGAGGGTGCCGCCATTTCCCTGCTCTGACCCCACCTCCACATACAGCCTCATAACCCAGCAACTCTGAGTGGCCCCGCCCTGGTGAACCACCTAAGGTTCTGCTCCTCACCCAGCCACACGAAACAGCAGAGGGGGCCGCCATTTCCCCGCTCTGACCACGCCCCCACATACAGCGTCACAACCCAGCGACCTGGGAGTCCAAGGCGCCACTCCTCACACTTAAAGGGCCCGAACAGACCAAGAATGGCTCAAGAAGATCTCAAAGCCCCAGAGCCTATAAATCTAAGCGATGAAGAAATTGCAAAACTCTCAGATGCACAGTTTAAAACACTGGTGATCAGGATCCTCACAGAACTGGTTGATTATAGCCACAAATTAGACAAATATATGAAGGCAAAACTAATTGAAATGAATGGAAGTGCACAGGACACCAATAGCAATGAAAAGGAAACTGGGACTCAAATCAATGGAGTGGACCAGAAGAAAGCAAATAATGGCCAAACAGAAAAGAGTCAAGAAGCAAGAATTCAAAAAAATGAGGAGAGTCTTAGGAACCTCCAGGACATCTTTAAACACTCCAACATCCAAATTATAGGGGTACCAGAAGGGGGAAAGGAACAGCCACCAGTGGAAAACTTATTTGAACAAATAATAGAGGAGAATTTCCCCAATCTGGCAAAGGAAATAGACTTCCAGGAAATCCAGAAAGCTCAGAGAGTCCCAAAGAAGTTGGACCCAAGAAGGAACACACCAAGGCACATCATCATTGCATTAGTCAAGATTCAAATGAAGGAGAAAATCCCGGAAGCAGCAAGAGATAAAGGGACAGTCACCTACAAAGGAGTTCCCATCAGACTGTCAGCAGATTTCTCAAAAGAGACCTTACAGGCAAGAAGGGGCTGGAAAGAGGTACTCCAAATCATGAAATCCAAAGACCTACAACCAAGATTGCTCTATCCAGCAAAACGTTCATTTAGAATGGAAGGACAGATAAAGTGCTTCTCAGATAAGATCAAATTCAAGGAGTTCATCATCACCAAGCCCTTATTATATGAAATGTTAAAGGGACTTATTGAAGAAAAAGAAGTTAAAGAAACATGAACAGTGAAAGGACAACAAACTCACAGTTATTAACAACCACACCTAAAACGAAAGCAAACTGAAAGGACAGCTAGATCAGGAGTGAACCATAGAAATGGAGATCTCAAGGAGGGTTAGCAACAAGGGAGCAGGAGGAGGAGAAGGGGGGTGAAGGTACAGAAAATAAGTAGCATAGACAGTAGATAGAAAATAGATGGGGGGCAAGAATAGCATGGGAAATATAGAATCTAAAGGACTTAAGACACATGGTCATAAACTAAAGGGGGTAATGGTGGGGATGGGGGGGTAGGGTGGAGGGGAATGAAGGGGGAACAGAACAACTGTAACAGCATAATCAATAAAAAAATTTTAAAAAAAGAAGCATAAATAGTGGGTAAAGAATAGACAGGAAGAGGTTAAGAATAGTATAAGAAATGTAGAAGCCAAAGAACTTATATGTATAACCCACGGACATGAACTAAGGTGGGGGAGGGGAATGCTGGTGGGAGGGCAGATCCAGGGCCGAGGGGAATAAATGGGAGGAAAAAATGGGAAAACTGTAATAGCAAAATCAATAAAATATATTAAAAAAAGAAAAAAAAAAGAAAAAAAATATCATCAACCAAAACCTTATACTCAAGGCAGAAGAACAAAAGAGAAATAGACTGGGAACAACACTGTGTACTATCCGAACCTAATAGAGATCTATACAACACTCCACGCACCCGCAGCAG